GCAGACACCACTAACACCAGGAGGGAGGCTCCATCTATTGGTGGGGAGCATCACCTGCTGGAAAACGGGTCCAGCGTCCCATATACAGAAATTGATAATGTCTGAGAACAATGAGAATWGTGACTGTGAGGTCTGCCAGCATTGATTGCCCTGCACCTCAGGGGATTAACTGAGCAGCCTTAAATAGTGACCTCTTCACCTTCCCATATGCAAAATTGAGAATGCCTGAGGACAATGAGAATAATGGCTGTGGGGTTCGCCAGCATATTGCTGGGAACCGACTGTATTCTGATCTTGATTATGAGCCCTGCCAGCATTGATTACCCTGTGTCCCAGGGGATTGACTGCACAGGCCTGTCTAATGTATCCTTTTTACGTGCCTGCCAGCATTGATTACCCTGAGCTCCTCGAAGGATTGACTGAGCAGGACCTGAACATGACCACGATTATTTCCTTTGCATGCTAGGGTACCAAGCTCCGGTTGTGTCATTATTGGACCGGCCTGATGCGCAAGGGGGCGGGGGGCGGATTCTGCTTCCAGGGGGCGACTGGGGCAGACTGCCGGTCCTCCCTCTACCCATACTTTTCATGACGGTTCAATAAAGTCACTATTGGGGAGGTTACCCTGTATCACGACCATACCAGCTCAATTCCATCAAAACATTGTCGGGCAAGGGGAAGAGGTCAGGGAATTCCGAGGCAGGGGGGAGTGGGATGTTGCTAGGAATTGCGGTCCAATCGTGGAAGGTCAATCGGTAGTTTTTCTGTGATGTGTCCAGCCGATCTTTGCCATCCAGGTGCCAGCCATCCCACTGAATCCTTGCTATCCATCCTCCCTGTTCTCCCCCCAGCCAGTCCATGCAGAATTCATGAAGTTTTTGGATAATGTTTGTTCTTTTGGTGAGGGCTAACATTGTTTGCACAGTTTTTTTCCACTGGGCTCTGATTGTTGTTTCTATTATGTCTTTAATCATGTCCATCATCTCGCCGTTTTCCACATGGGCGTCTTCCAGTGCTAAAGTGCATCTGCGACGCCATATGGCCCATAGGACTGCGCCCCTTCCAACCTTAAACAAGTTGGCCGTAAAGGTCGAGGTTTGAGCGGTCCAATGCCCGGTTAGTAAGGCTCTCCATTCCCACGGCCAATCGCCGTCTGTGCCTAGCTGGTCCCAAATCCAAACCCACCCACGCCAGATGAGGATTGAGGCAGGGCATTGCAATAAAAGATGTTCTATTGTCTCATTAACTTTTCTGGAGGGAAATCCTTCTTTGCAGGCCAGACACCAGGGGAGGGCCACACCTTTCTGCTCCAGGTGGGTGTGGTCAATGAGCCATGCATTTGTGGGTAGGCAGCGTTGAGTGATTTGCCATTGGAGTGAGGCAGTTTTGGTTGGTTTGACTTTTATCCCTTTAAACCATTTGATGGGTGTCAATGAACTCAATGGGACATTTAAATGCCTTGTCCAACGATCCACTATACGGTCTTTCAGGTTGATTTTGGTCCTAAGCATCCGATAGGAGGCCTTAACCCCCAATGAGTGGAGATATCGATATTTTGGTATGCCGTTCCTTGTGGGAATCTTCCATCTCCACTCCGCAGCATCTAAGGGGAGGTCCTGGATTGGCACCTGCGGTCTGAATGCCACCCAGGAATCCCCATCTCGTAGGACCCTCACTCTATGGAGTATTCCAACATCAATCCAGAAGACTTCATCCGGCCCTCCCCTGATCAATCTATTATGTTGTGTTCGATAGAAGAAGTTTACCAACACTTCCCCTGGTTTGCCTATAATTACTTATCCCATCCGCATTGCATCCCCCTTTAATACAACCCAGTCACCCTCCTCCACCGTTGGTCCTCGCCGAAGGGTCCTCAACCATGCAAGAGTGAGAGCGAATAGGATCTGGTCTAGCTTCTCGCCTGTTCTTTGGTAGTGGGGGAGCTTTGCTCTCAGCTGTTCCTCTGTGACCCAATTAGCGCTAGTTTGGTCCCAGAGATCCCCTACCCTCATGACCCCATTTCTTACCCATCCCTTTCACGGGCGGCTGGTGCTAAGAAGAACCCGCCCCTGCTGATCTGTTACCCATCTATTTCCAAATAAGGGTTGGCGCATAACTTCCTCCTAGCGTTCAGGGAACGATCTATCCGGAAGCGGGAGCCTCCTCCAGTCCTTTATTAGGTCGATCCAAAATCCGTCTTTCCTTTGATCCTTACGGGCTGCCGTCCGGTCCGAGTGTGGTTGTGGTCGGGTGGGGGGTCTAGGAAGTGCCCAGAAGACATCGTCTAACCATGCCATCGGGTGTATGGTGGAAGCAGCCTCTGGTGCCAGTCTCGAGAGTTGTTCCCAGGCCAGGGGCTCCCAAGTAAGTCCGGGGGTGCAGATAAGCCGCTTCAACCATTAGAGTGAAAGGGCAGTTGTTTGAGTGGTTGGGTCGAGTACCCCGAGGCCACCTTGTGACCTTGGTTGCACCACTGCATCCCAAGCCACCCGACTAATGGTATGGTGGTTTTCGTGGTTACGCCTCCATAGGAAGGCAGCTACCTGCCGCCTCAAGGCCTTTGAAGCCTCTCTGGTCAAGGGCTAAATTGTCGATTTATACTAGAGTGTTGCCAGAACCACATTGTTAATGACTAGGGCCCTTCCCAAGAGGGGTATGTTTTTATCCTTCCATGTTCCCAACTTTTGCAGGGCCGGAGACATTATCCAGTTATCGTTACTGACCGGTTTTCCTTCAGCTGAGAGTTGGATTCCAAGGACTCTGATGGGGGTGTCGAGGAGGAGCCATATCACCTTTGGGTTCTCCGGAGGTCTGCCTCCATCATGATGCATCCACCACCCCAATGTTTTACTGCCCCAGTTAATTGCCATATCAGCGAGGGAGCAGAACCGGGCCATCAACCTTTCAATTTCCTCCATATTTTGAGTGGAGGCCTCCACCATCAAGGTGAGGTCATCTGCAAACAACGAGCACACCTGCAATGCATCTTGTGGGATGGAGGTCGTCCTGATTCTACTGATGTTCCGATTGGCTCTAAGGTTGGCCGCCAAGGCCTCCATTACCACCACGAAAAGATATGGCGCGATCGGATCTCCTTGGCGGACAAATCTCTGTAGAGGGAAATCCGGGGTGAGACTTCCATTCACATATACACACCTGGTGACATTTTGGTGAAGGATACGTATCCATCTCCGAAAGGATTCTCCAAAGTTAATTTTCTCCAGATATTTATCCAGGAAATGCCAATCCACATGGTCATATGCTTTTTCAAAATCTATAAAAATAAAGGCGGCATTGCACCTGGACTGTCGAGATAATCGTAAAAGCTCATTTACTAGGAGGATATTATCATGGATGCGTCGCCCTTTAAGGAAGCCAGTCTGTGAAGGGTGGATGATTTGCTCTAATGCCGGAGCCATGCGGTTTGCTAATGCTTTGGATAACATTTTGTAAACCACTGTTAACAGCGTGATTGGTCGATAGTTGCGAATATTCATTTTGTCTCCTTTTTTATACAATAGTGTGAGGACCCCTTGGCCTACTGCTTCCCCCATGTCTCCTTCCTGCCATACCTTCTCATAGAAGGTCATCAAGTCCTCCGCCATCAATGGCCAGAAGCTCTCCCAAAATTCTTTCGGGAACCCGTCCACCCCAGGGGTCTTCTCCTCTTCCATCTGCATAAGAGCAGTCCGTATCTCCTCCCTGGTGAGTGGGTGGTCAAGAATCTCCTGTACCTCTTGGGGGAGAGAGTGGGTCAGGGGTTTAAGGAAGTCTTTAATCTCACGATCCCTTATGATAATGTTGGTGCCCTTAGTTTGTGAAGTAAAGAGGGCTTTGTAGAAATCTCTGGCGACCTTCATACATTGAGGTGTGGAGGTGGCCAGCGGTTTCTGAGGGTCGGTGGGGTCCAGGAAGGCCTCAATGGTCTACCTCTTTTCCCTGGCCCTTGCTAGGCCAAAGAAATCAGAATCCATGGCTCCTTCCGTAATGTGTTTGGAAAGTTTGCCTCTAATCCTTATGCCTTGCCATCTGTAAGTTGCAAATTCTAGTAGTTTATTTTGCAGAGTCTGTAATTGCGGGGTGGGGGTATGTTGCTGAAGATCTTGAATCTGATATTGAATCTCCATTTCTTCTTGATAACGTTTTTCAGCCATTTTTTTAGAGAATTTTTTGGTTTTGCGTCCCAGTAAAAAGAGCCCGTTGTTAAACCACGTGACTCCAGACTCAAAGTGTTTTTTCTGTTGGTGCCAGTAGGCCCACACCTCATAAATCAAGTGAACGAAGTCTTGTCTGTGTAGAAGCGAAGTATTAAGTTTAAAGAAGCTTGGGTCATGGTCTGGTTTCTGACGAAAGGTGAGGGCGACCCCACACAGCGCATGGTCCAACCCCGTGAAGGGACTACGCGGGAGGAGGTAAGCGAACTGCATGACGCCTGCGAGGTCCTCAGGCATAAGGATCAAATCTATTCTGGATCTGGAACGCGTTTCTAC